AGTAGCATGAGTACTATCTTCCAACCCCTTGCTTCTGCTTCACAGAATCAGTTCCTCCCAGAGAAGTATTGCCCACAGCTATCAAATAAAAACATTAACCCTGGTCATGGGTCACTGTCATCTGTGTTCTTCAATAATATGAGTAGGTCATCGCTGCCGCCATACCACGACCAAGCCAGCACTCCCCTGTCTTCGATGGGAGGAAGACCAAACACCCAATGGCCACCTGATCCCCCATTAGAATACGTTCCAGCTAAATGGAGACTCATGGATAAATACTCAGGAACCTTATCAAGTTCACCCTCAGGGCCCCCAATACATTCTCCCGGCATGCCCGTATATAAAAAAAGGTAAGAACTTCTGTATTATAATTGTCTTTTACTCAGGAAATATCTGGGGGAGGGAGGTCATAATCTTGAAAAATTCTTTTCCTCAGTTCAGCTGAAATAACTTGTTTTGAAAGGCGTCAGATTGCAATTCTGGGGAAATTGTTGTGGTCCTCTCCCACTGGCAGTCAGTCAAGTAGAAGCACAAGTGGGCTATCTTTTTGTTGCTTGTAAAGACGTGTGACTGTGTTTCAAAGTTGTCAAGTAAAAATTACGCAAAGTAATTTTGCCAAGCCTGCTTTACTTTATGCAGTTTAGAAAAGTTCTGAAAAGGCTTACTGGTAAGCTGGGACACGTGCTTACTTTCTGATTTTGCACATGTTTTTTGCACAACAGAAGACAAAGGAGAGACAGGGATGACAGCACACTTATTGCTGGCATGTATAGGTACTACAACTCAAATTTAAAATAACTTTTTTTTTTTTTTTTTTTTTCTCTCCAGCTCTTCCTCATCTCTGTTACTTTCTGGTACACACAAACAGTATGGGCTGAGGTGTAGCTCAGAAGTCAGAGTCCTGGCAGTTTCCCATCATTTTGTCAGTAGCTCTTGGGTAGCAAGCAGAGTGTGGGTTTTCAAAGCTTGCCATGAGAAACAGTCAAGAAGTGCATAAAATAGGCACAGTCCTTTTAAAATACGGAGTTGTGCAGTTTACCTGCAGTTTGCTTTCAGGGTTTTTCTTGTTGCTGCCAGAAATGCCAGCATCTGAACATACACTTGGAAAGAGAAGGTTTGTCTCCAAACAGCAACTTGTGTGTTACTATGCAAAGCAAGGGGATAGGCATGGCTCTCAAAATCCTAAACTTAAAAAAATCTCATGACTCTTTTCCACAGTATTTTTATGCCTGTCTGGAGATTTCTAGAGGCTGTTTATGCTAATCTTTCATTAGTCTTTGATCCCAAAAGTCAAATGTTTCCAAAGCTTGTAGGATGACTGACAAAAGGAAACAAAAACACGTGATGTCCAGTGTCATGCATCAAAGGCAGCTTAAATGGAACTAGGTTGTTTAGATTTGCCTCCCTGCTCACCCAAAGATCCTTTCTCAACAGGCCACTGGATGCTTTTGGGCAACGAGGCATAGATATAAACCCAGCAAGAATTGCTCTGTCTAATAGTTTGAAACTGAAGCGACAACTGGATTATGAAGAACAAGCATTGCAACAACTGAGTGGGGTAATTATGAGAAAATGCATCCCCTTCAAAACTTTGAACATACCAAGATCATCAGTGTGATCATGTTTTGCTTTTCTCCAAATTGTAGGGAGATCCATCTGTCACTAACCCATCTCACTTAATGTGGAAGAGAATGAAATTTCTCAAAGGGGAAAATTGTTCCTTGGTTTCAGAAAAGAAGTCTCTCAGCACAAGTGTTCTTACTGGTAAGAGAAAAGAAATTGATTTTGCAATGTTAAGTGCTGAAACAAAATGTTAAGAAAATTTGAATAGAAATAAAAACTCTTTCAAAAGGAAATGTTAATAAGCACTGTCAAAAAATCAGTAAGCTAAAATTAGAGATCAGTTTGTATCAGTAAGAGCTAAATGGTTTATGGTACTGTTGATAGCTACCAAGTAGATTGTTTCCTATATGTTCATGCCCTTGCTTTGGAGGCAATAGGGATCAATTTAATGGAGGTGGGTTTACCTAATGCCGATGTAATGTGCAGACACCTCAGAGATAGAACTGATATTTCCTCTCTGCAATATTGTGCTTACTTATTTGACTGTCTTGAGTACAATACTACTCCCAGAGATAGCGCTGGTTTTGGACATGCTTTGCTACAATATGTAGGGATGCCTACACTGTGTGATCATCACGCTGATGATCACTTTGCTTTGAATTAGTATTAGCTACTATCACTATTACAATAGCTTAATTTAACTTCGCTTTTTCCTTCTGTGCAAATTAGATGAGTTTGTCTGTAACTCAAGAGGCCTGAGCCAACCAATGAATCAACTGCAACAGCAACAGCAGCAACAGCAACAACAGCAGCAACAGCAACCCACCTGTGGCAGTCCTGGTGAGAATTTGAAAGCAGGAGCGTTTCCCCCTCAGTTTTACAGTTCCCATTATCAGGACTATCCTGCCCAGCCAACTCATAAAGTATCAGGTAAGAGACTTCAAAAATACAGCAATTGGAAATAGCTGATTACATGAAGTAAAAACTTTAACAACAACAGAGGATGATAAACTGAGAACCACAATTTTGTTTCGCAAAATGCAAAGTGTTGTTTGGTATGAAATGTTAATGTCTACATTTGTGATATATGAGGGAAAAATTATTTTTGCTTTTCATTTCAATTGAACTTAACACCTTTGTGCCTTGGTGGTCTAGCCATCCTCTTATGTATTCTTGCCTTGTGATGGAATTGATTAAACTATACTAAACAACTGCAGTGCAGCATTGATGCCTGAATTAGGTTACAGTCTAACATATGCCTTCTACAAACGACAATCAGTAATGAAGGGAGGTTTATGTAGAGGGAGTGCAGGTGTCAATTTAGAAACTGTTGTTTACTATAGCTTTCCTCACTTGCACCAGTATCATTTTCCTGAGAGCAATCTAAATTGGGGATAGAGGTGGAAAACTTCATGCTTGTAAGCTGTTCCGGCTGAGAGGCATAGGTTTGCTCTAAAAACTGTAACTGTTGGTGTTCTGAGGCACGCTGACATAAGTAGAAAATGAAATTATAACTGATATAAACAGAAGAGGGAGGAGAGGAAAGAAGTTCTCGCTCTCTCATTCTCTGTCTCTGGTCTCAGTGCCATGACTCACTTTACTCTCTTTCAGGTGTGACAAGTCGTCTGCTGGGACCCTCCTTTGAACCATATTTGTTGCCTGAGTTGACAAGATATGACTGTGAGGTTAACGTCCCTGTTTTGGGCAGTTCCACGCTTCTGCAGGGCAGTGAACTGCTCAGAGCCCTGGACCAGGCAACCTGAGCGATCCTGCAATATTCCTTGGCCTATACTGTTCAAAACAGCTTCAGTTTTTAAATATATTTTTGCAAGTAGACAATTTCTAATACCAATACACTTTTACAGGATTTTACTTAGATATTGAACCTGTCCACATTACCAAATAGTGGCCTTTTGAAGTTACTCACTTTATTATTCATATTAAAGAAATACATCTACTGTATTTTCTCTATTGCAATTAATGTGTTGTTTAGAGAGTTTGATTACCCTCCCCTTATCTCATTACCTGTAATTTATACTCTCAGATTTTCTTCAATTTTCATGCTAGTAAAAAGCTGTGGTATAAATGCCTCATCTTGTGATACTTTGGCTGCAGTACTGCAAAGATTTATTTTTATTGCCAAAGACGAATGAAACAAATTTGATCTCCAACCACAGTTTTTTGTTGATCTGCCAAATTGATATCCTTTGAGTCTTTCTGTTTTCCAGCATTTATTGTATTGTAACTTTAATAACTTTTGGGAAAGCATACTAAAGAAAAAATTCCCAGCCTTCTGACTCCCTCCCCTTCCCTTCATTTTTATACACTTTGTTGAAAGAAATGTGAATGGTGAACTACAATGTTTGTGGGTATCTGTGAAGGTTGCACGTTGTAAGCTTTTTTCCTCAGAAGCAAGCCACATTCTCAGCTGACTTAACCTGGCTTAGCTCTACAGACAAGGGAGTCCTACAGATTTACCCCAGTGGAGGATTTTTGTTTGTGTTGGGATTTCTTGTTTTGTGCTTTGTTGTTCTCTTTATTTTTACACAAAACAGATTTTTTTTATTATTATAATAACTCTCTGGGTCAGTTGTTAATCATCTCTTGGTACTTTTTCTGTATCTAGGACACAACAACTATAAGAGCTGTTTCTGCTAGAACTAGTAGTATTTCTTAGGATGTTGCTGACACTTCAGGAATCTCACCAATGGCCAGTACTAACATCTCTGAATAATGCTAGCCTTTTTCATGTTATATGCTAGCTAGCAATATAATTTCAATATTGAATCATTAAAACTAAAAGTAGTATTTCCCAGTATATTAGGCTAACTCAGTTATAAGTAGACAAAAATAATTAAGGGTTGTGTAGTGAGATGAATTACTGGCAGACAGGTCTCTCTCATTTTAATTTACCTTATATTAATCAAGATCTGAAACGTCATTAAATTCAGCCAGACATTTTCAGAACTTCAACTATCATTTATTGTCATGTACGTATTTTAAAAAGTAAGGCTTTGAATGCTTTCAAAGGCTAAGGTTGAAATTAGAGTGTACTTAAACAGCAAAAATATTAAACTAATAAAAGGCAGGTGAGCAGTTCTGACTCTGAAATACATACAAACCAGGGTAATGTATTGGAATATGTCCATCTTGTTTCCTCCACTGGTATAAATCATTGTAGCTTTGCTGAAAAAAATGGAACAGTGGCAATGTACAACAGGTAAAAAATCTGGCCCAGAAACTTAGAACAAAGATAGGCTTCAGTGGAACTGGAAGTCTAAAAACAATGTGTTTTATAAATTTGCTTTCTATCATGCACTGAAGCTTGCAGAGAGGGAGCCTTGGGTTCATTGAGCACTTCGGAGATCGCTGTGTTAAGTGAGTCTTAATCATACACACTGTGCACTCTTAGAAAAGCAGATCTTTTGTTGTTATTATTATTGGTACATAACATTAAAAAAAAAAAAAAAAAAGATAGCCCCTATTGCAGCTAGATCTTTCAAGAGTTTATTACCAAAAATAAGCTACTCCTAAAGTGATCTTATTTCTATGTGGGAAAAAAAGAACATATTTTAAGCATCAAAATGTAATGAAATTGACAAGCCAGATTTGACAAACCTTCAGTGGCAAGAACTTAAAGGCTTCAAGGATTAAAGACACTTGAATACTGCTCTTTTCTGTTTCTTATTTGTGTAGTTTCAGCATTAAAAATGTTATACCCTAACAGTTTACTAAAACACTCTGAAAAATATTCCATGTCTTAATATTAATCATACTTTTTATCATAATTATTTCATAATCTATATTGCTGAATTCTTATTGACAATATTATAACTGTATGGGAACTTTAACTTGATAAGGAAATGTATTTTGACACTGATACCTTATTAAAGTATACTGATCCTAAATTCTTTGTGACTCATTTGCTATGAATTTGTCATTTGTTGTATCATTGTAAAACAAAAGTATTTATTAAATTATTTATAGAAAATAAAGGTTTGCATTGATCTTTACAGAACAAAAGAACAATCTAAGGTTGCCCATATCTGAGACCTGAGAAGTAAGCTGACCAAGGGCCTGTACTGTCCAGCTTTTTTTTTTTTTAGAGTTTGCCCAGTTTTCCTCATACGGAGTATTAACACCCTGTAGACCACACTTCTAGAACTTTTCTTATTACTTGTACTTCTGCTTCAATTTCAAAAGTGTATGTCTACCTAGGAGCTGAAGATGCCTGTCATAATGCTACTGTGAAAAACAGCAATAATAATAATTAGTCAAAACAAGTACTTGCCTAGAGACATGGTCTTGGATTTCAGGGGCTGAACTGCTGCAGTATCCCTCTGCAGTTTTTGTGGCCATCATATTCTGGCAGTCCTGGCGCATCCATGAATATGGCTGTCCCCAGGCCAAGCTGCTTCACCCAGTCCCGTGTTGCAATGCTGCTGCTGAACACTCTGATCCTTTTCCTTGCAGAAATTACCAGTTCTGCCAGCACAGTAACCATCATGCTGTAGAACAAACACATTAAAACTGTCACTTTCAAACATGCACTTAAGTGCTGATGGACTGTATGGAAGCTGTGGGTGCTTAACCCCTCTGGTAACTACTGCTGAGTTTTTCAAACAACAGTGACTCTTTGGAATAATGTAAGTGGGCTATCATCACCTTGTTTTCCAGATGGGATGCCAGATTTAGCAAGTAACTTGCTTCTAAAGCTGTTGGAATCACAAGTGTGCCCAGAACACCTGGCAGTGACGAGGTAATGGGGGTGTGTATGTTACCTCCCTTTTACAGCATCCCACTGGTCTTCAGGGCACTTTGACAGAGACCAGCTCAGCATGCCACAGCCTTCACCAACTAAGGGGTAGGGGAAAAAAAATAAATAAAGCACCGACATAGAGAACAGGAACTACCTGTTCACATCAAGTGAACATAAAGTTCTCTTTTAAAGGTTGCAATCACTAACAGCTAACACTGTCCTCAGCTAGTGCTGCCAGACACTACTTTCTCAGGGTGTCCGAACACCCTCCTTTTATCTAGCATACCTACACATCTCAGGTTAGTGAGCTTCAGTGTTTTTTCCCCTTATGTTTAGGACACAGCTGGATGGCTAGCATCTAGCTAGCAACGCTCTGACACTGCAATTTATATACCCAAAAGACCCAACCTCTCACCCAAAACTTAATACATTGCATCAATAGCTGAGCTTTGTTCTGCTGAACAGAGGTTTAATACAGCTTTTTTAAACCTTTGTTTCCTCCTGTATGCCAATAGAAGTGCTTAAAATCAAATGTACATCAGCTGTCACCGTGTAAATGCACCATTTCTTGTCATCCAAGCTTACATTTCTAACAGCATAGACAGAACTGAGCAATTCTGTTGTTCAACACTCACCATTTTCTGCTGAAAATCAGGCAGTTCTGTGAAACTCATGATTTGGGTCGGTCTCAAGCTCAGGCTGATTTTCCAGTCTATCATCTTTTTAAAATGATTGAGCCAATGCCTGCAACACAGATTTCAAGCAGGTGAGAGTCATACTCTTTGCCAAGCAAATGGTTACAACAAAATACTCAGGCCTCAACATCCCAGTGTATTTTGTGATTTACTAACAAAACTGCAAAAAAGCCCAGATAGCTTGGAGCAAAGTCCACCTACCCTTTCAAGCCGAGACACCAATTCCTAAGCAATACTGAGATCTGTGGACAGCAGGTAATTCATCACATTTGTTTGTCACAGTGGTGAGAGCACAGGATAACAACAGGCAGTCTAACTTGCACCTGCTCTTGGTCTACATGGTGATGGTTATTCTTCCTGAAGAGCTTTACAGAACTATTAACATACATGCCAGATTTTTTTAAAGTTATAGAGAGAAGTAGGAATATTCACCTACATTTAAATAAACAGCATTAATTTATTTTTTTCCCTGCAACTTTCTTATAATAGGCTTCCCAAGAGACAAGGAAAAAATATCAAAGAGAAAAAAACAAACAAACAAAAAACAATTCCTCACTATGTTTTCTTAGGACAACCAAACCTGTCACCCTCCCACAGCTCTGCTGCCCCAGCAGCACACCAGCCACCTCCTGGTTACCTGCGGCTGTGCGTTAGCCCCATGCCACCACTCTCACTGGAGGAAGCCAGGCAGGGGGTCCCACTCCCCAGCCTCCGCTCAGTGTTGTTGCTTTGCCCTGGTCAACTGAAGCAACAAAAGCAGCATTGGAAGCTCTGGCGATTGGTATGAACTCCATTTTTGAGGTGTTCAGATTTAAAATGGATTCAAATAAATAAAATGACTTCAGCTGCTCAGTTTGGAAGCATCACCTACTTCTGCCTGAAAGCCAGCCCACAGTTTTGGCAGCGTGTGATTTGCCACAGGTCTCACATGGAACATTTTTCTTGAAGCCCTACATTCCTAGACTCAAGGTGTTACATAGTCCTCTTCAACCATGCCTCTCAATTAATGATGCGGTGACACATGGTTAAGATGTCTCATTAAGGAACAGAAGCAGAGGCGTGAGCCTGGATTGCAATCTCTAGCTTCGTGCCCTTGGCACGGGGCAGTAACAGGCAGCTGGGTGCAACCAAAGCTGCTTCACTTCTCTGCTGTTTGCTGTAGAAAGTGCTCTATCTCAGCAACAGGGGCTCGAATGGCCACTCAGAGTTGGGTTACATCTTAAAAATCCAACTCCATGTAGCTTCATTAAGAAAAAAAGGAAAAGGAAAAAGATAAGAAGCCCCACAAACTCTTCAGTCAAAAGGTCTGTGTTTAGGTCTTGGAATTATAGGCAGAGCTGTCCAGCTAGATTTCCAAAGGCCCCAGAAAAACATCAGCTTCGGTAGTTCTCTATCAGAGCTCATGTTGGAAACATCCAAACCCCATTCCCACTCCAGCCATTGGGCACGACAGACCTCAGTCCTTGCCCTGAGATGAAAGCAGATTTAATGCTGTGGGTCACAGGAGGTGTGCGTGTCCCTGAGAGCTGCCCGTTCATGTCAAACATTTTCTTCAGCTATTAGATGGCTGTTCTCATTCGCTACTTGGGCAAGCGAGAGTGGTAGTGCAAATGATAAAGGTTCTTCTGGCTCACAGACAGACTCTTTCATCACCTCCTTGACACTTTGCTTAGAGCAAAATCCTAACAAATATCAGAAGTACATAGAGTTTCTTTTACAGTTTTGGAAATGAGCAGAATTGAGTATTTTCCCCAGGTGCCTGAACTCTGTCTATAAAGCCAGAAGAATTTCTTAGCCGTAAGAGGTGCAGCATGGTTTTGCTTCTTTTGCTCCTATCTTAGCACTATAGAGCTGTAATTAGCAAGATGAGAACCTGGATTTGTGGTTCCCCAAACCTGCTCCCCAGACAAGTAGTTTGCATTCAGGACAAAAATTAAGCCTCAGATAAAGAGAGGAGCGTGCACACAAGTTAGAGCACTCTAAGATCCTGTTACGTGCTTGATGGACACCAACAACCATACCTGGGGTGTGATTTCTGAGTCCAGCTGTACCCCCTCACATTTCCAGCCCTGATTACACGCTCATCCCTGATTTGGGCCATGCAGAACTCAGAGGACTCCAGGGTGTCCTGGAGGAAGGTGACCCAACAAGGATCTCTCTGGCTCAGTATAAACCCGTAACTCAGAAAAATGGAAGATTACAACTCCCACATGCAAACTAAAACCCACTCATGCATCAGCCAGAGAGCATGATCACAATGCCAGTTCAGTAGAGCTTGTCAGAATAAAGCTTTTTCTAACAACACAAATGCATTTCCCAGTTAGAACTGTTTATGCAACTGGATTTTATTTAGGAATATCCAGTTAAAAAAATAAACAAACAACAAAAAAAACAGTAGCTTAAGTCTCGTACTGTTTTTCCCCAGGATTTTCACAAAAGCCAAATCTGAGGTAGAAGGAGAAAGCACAAATCCCATTTGCAGTTGCCAAAACCCAGACTGAAACCCATGGCTCCCTGGCTTTATTTTGAAGCAGAATTTACATGGACTTCTAAGCTGCAAACCACAAAGGTTGCATCACACAATGAGCCTTGTGATCCATATATGCTTTTTTTTCCTTTTTTTTTTTTTTTTTTTTTTAAATTCACCCCTCCTCCACACAGCAGATCCACGACTGCCGACAAATGGATGTTGGCACCATTCACTTTTGGATATGTCGCGTAACATCTACTGGCCTTTTTCCTGGAAGAGCACGTAAGTACAACTGGTATCTCACCTTACCGCTAGCACAGGCAGCGCTGATGCTATCTGCAACCCCAAAAACACCTTGGAGTTAACAGAAAGCAAAGCAACAGAAGTTTGCTGGGAAAACAGGTTGCTCTCTATTATTGTAACTGCAACTGCAAACATCAAGACGAGCTTTCCTGTACTTTGCTCAGCTACGTAACTGTTCCTGTTAATTAGCCTGTTTACACCTTTTATCACAGCTTGTTGTTCACAACTTCAATTTCCTTCTACTTCAGTAAGGTTTTGGTATCATAGTCTTCAGGGTCAATCTGATCACTGCAGACACCTCCAAGATAAAGGAGGGGCCAACACTGAATAATTCAATTTTTGCTCAACCTCCGCCTCTCTGACCAAAACCTCTCTTCCTCAGAAAAGATTCTGTTTAATGATAGCCAACACCTTGAACAACTCTGCACTGGTTTTCCTCTTATCTAGCACCACACTGCCTTCCCCAGATCCATGGTGACCAGTACCTCAGTCTGTACAAAGCCACCCAAGTATTCTGACAAGTGGGCAAAAACGTGGCTTTTGCAACCATCAATTATATCTTAATATACTGAATAAACACTTTAACTTGTACTTTCATTTTTAGAGTGAATTCTCCAACCTCAGCCCTTACAAGCTCTCCCTCCCCCCTGCGAAACCATGAAGAAAGCATCTTTAGAAAAACAGAGTCACTAAAATACTCGTCTGGGTAACCAGCAGAGGAACCAAGAACCAATGAATACCTGGAACTCCCTTAAGTTCATTGAAAGACAGGGAACAGTCAGGTCAACAGTGCTGTCATTCTCCTTTTTGGAATGTAGGCCCTGCTGGGCAGAGTTTATTTGTACTGAGGTTTTGTATTAGAAGCACACACACTGCTAAACAAGAATTTGTTCATCCAGGATTTCTTCTGTCCTGCTCGGAGCATAAATTCCACTAACGTGTGCCGGAAATAAACAGAGTGAAAAGCGTCTGTGCTCCGTGCTCAAGAACCAGAACTGGTTTCAACAGCAGGCTGCCATCCTGTGCATACCCGAAACGTGTGTCCTGAAACCTGCTCAGAGCAGGTCCTCTACAAAACCTACCAGGAGAACACTTTCCCTGGTGGGTACACATGGAGCAGATCCCAAACAAGCCATCTCAGAGTGCAGCAAGTGCTCCTACCTTTTGCTGCTGAGCCATTCCCAAGGCTACTTCCAAGAAAACAGAGGCACAAGGGATCCTCCTTCCTCCCCATCCCTTTTCCTGTGCCTCCCTTCCACAGAAATCCCTCAAAGCGTATTTTCAGTCCTATAGGCAAAGTGCTGTGCTGACTCATGCCAAGGAAGGGAACAAATCCCACATGTTTGCACAGCCTATGCCACAAACCGATTGCTGGGGGGTAACCATTTACAAGCCCCTGCAAGGCAGCTCTCTTGCAGGCTGTGGCAGAAAGCCACACTGTTCATGGGGCATTCCCGACCCGAGGCAGGCGTGTGGGGCTCGCTGCAGGGTGGCCATGCCAGCCAGCACGGCTCTTCCTCATGGCACGGGCCTGAAGCGCAGGGGCTGAACGAGCTGCTCATTTCTTTTCACTCCCGAAACCCATTTACTAAGGTTTAGCACAGATAACACACAACCCTCATCTATATGGAAGAAGGAGGTGAATGAGCCTGGTGATGTGCTGCTTCCACGGGTCATGGAGTTACTCTGTGGACCTGCACCACAGAGCGACACTAAAGCATGGGAAAAGCTGCTTAATAGGAAAATTTCCCAGAAAGCTCTCCAAAACTCATACTTTCCACTTTCACACTAGACCCCAAGCCTCACTGCACAGCCCACCCAGGGTGCTACAGATCGCATCCTACCAGGGTACTACAGATCTCATCCTCCCACAGAACCAAACCACAACGGCAGCAGCTTGGTAGGACCAAAAGCAACGAGTATCGCAGGGTCCCCCAAGTACACTCCTGCTCAGCAGCCCTTGCTTTGAAGACAGACCTCTTATTTTCTCACATCAGCTAATTTCACAGCAGACACGCACTTACATTCATTACTGCAACCCACAGCCTTTCCCCTCATTTCCTAAATACCAAGATGCTGAATTTTCCTCCTGCCTATTGTATCATCAATTTGCTTTCTCATGACACCTAGTATCATTTAGAAATCCTTTTCCAGATGCACTTATTGGAAATGAAGGCAATGTGATTGCAAAAGGAGTTCTGGGATCTTATTTGTACCACTGTGAGTCATCTCTAGAAACAGTATTGCAGCAGCACCAGAATTTGCATTCAAATTAT